CTTAGAATACAATGACCCATCTTTCTTTCGAAGTACAGCATAAAACCGGCCTAGGCAATAGTAGGCCTAGGAATCGATCAAGTTCAGGTTTGGCTAAATAAACTCAAATAATCACTGCTGAAGCTGGCAAAATACTCCATTCGGTTAACTGCATATTTTATTGCCTTTTTTGTTGATTCGGCATAACTTTCATTAATCCTCCAAACCAAATTAATAGAATATATACTGGTGTTTTTCTAGATTTTTCTAATGTGCATAAAATAATGAATGTGACTCACAATTAATTATAACATGACCATTTAAGAGCCAGTCTTTGAAACACAAAAAATATATTTTTTCTCTTACTATAGTTTCATTGGTAGTAATAACCGCTTGCTCTGCGCTTCGCTGTGATCTCGTTTCTGATACAACATTTTGTATCTGTAATTGCTCATTAGTTAATGACTCAAAATTATAAATATCTGAAAATAAAAATATGGTATACGTAACACATAATTTATACTGCATTCTTAGTCAATAAATTCACAATAGTTGTACAGTCAGTCGGTGCTTAATTTTTAAGAGGTTTTAATCTGGTGAATTATGAGGTTTTAATTATGCAGCTTTTAATTACGTTTTCAATAAGGCCTTAAATCAATAAATAATTATTTCTTACCATTTTAATCAGGCTTCTAATTGTTTTTTAATCAGGACCTAAATTGACACCTTTGAGATTTTTACAAATTTTTTGTATGTCTGGCAATAGAAATCATACAGTACTCAAACATTATATTTTACAAGTTGGACAAATAAAAATAGTTTATCTTTCTTATTTCATCCATTATTACCCTAATATCCAACATTTATAGAAAATCATCAAATACCAGAATAGAAGGTGAATTTGAAATAGAATATGCAGTACAGTAAATCGATCCATGCATCCCTGCCGTTGTCTTTTACTGATGGTAACATATGGAAACATGCAAATTATTCAGCATTTGACACATGTTAATTCTTAAACTAAAGATAACATTATATTGAAATTTGAGAAATGCTATTGTTACTACAACCAAGGCATGTTTTTGTATGCCTGCAAATGAAAATCATACTTTCACATTGTATTATGCAAGTTGGACAAATAAAAATATTTGAACTTTCATATTTCATCTATTACGTTTATCCACCCACCATTTATAGAAACTCACCAAATACCACAGACGGCTGAATTTGAAATAGAATATACACATGCTATATTTGTCTTTTATTTATGGTTACATATATGGAAACATGCAAATTAGTAAGCATCGGCTACATGTTGATGCTGAATTAAATTTATTAATACAGAAATTTGAGAAATTGAAAGAGACATCACTAACCTTTACTGTTCAATGCTGAACAACCATTAAGAATATAGAGCAGAGATAAACACAGACAGACCGGAAGAAAAGCCATGTCGGTTAAGACAACCAATAGAATTAAGGCATCACCTGCAAAGTATAAATACAAATTTTTAAATTTTCCTATGGTTTTTTTACACAAAATGAAAAACCAATATGTTTTATAATATAAAAAATAAAAGTGCTAGCCTTTTAAATTGATTATTAGATGTTATAAACCAAACATAAAACTGTAATGTACATTTTACAGTGTAACTATTTTGTATGAATTTAATTAAGATGACTTTTTTGCACTAAGAATTTGTTATATTCACTTTAAATACTGTATGGTTCAATTAACTTCAAGTAAAATTACACTGTCCCTTATGTAATACATTACATTTATTATGTATTATTATTGTTTTATTTTAAATTTTCAAAAAAGAATGCTTAAAACAAATACTGTAGTTACAAAAACATGTTGTATACTGTTTTCCAAAAATAACAAATGAAATAAATAATATTTCTCTAAATCAATGTCAACAATTGATGTTAATATCTAGTTATCAATATTAAACTACATGCTATACATCTTCCTAAAGGGCAATAAAGTATCTTCCAATGAGTTTTGGGCCTATACACTTAATTGATCCCTTCCTGCAGTTAACATCTTCCTAAAGGGCAATAAAGTATCTTCCAATGAGTTTTGGGCCTCTACACATAATTGATCACTTCCTGCAGTTACTGTAGTACAAACTCTCAGACAGTCGTCAAAACTCATGCTAGAGAATGCTATACACTGTATACTGTACGATGCTGGCACAACATGGTACCAGACTACAGGTCATATTCTACAACATGAGCAATAAACCAAGAGTTGATTTTGGTTCATGACCTATTTATTGCAGACCTCAACAGACTGTTCTATTATAAATATTGACGGACAAATTTTGAGTAGCTGTAAGAATAAATTACAAAAATTCAATTAAATATAATTAATTAAAAAAAAAACAATAATAGGAATTCTTTTTATAGAATAATATAAATATACATTAAAAATAATCATTGTAAAATACTAAAAATAGTGTTGCAAGATGTTTCAACTAATTTATGATAATCCAAGTGTACAGTAAATTGTCTTGAAAATAAATCTATCAGTGGGTACAGACTATAAAGTGCTTTATACTTAAATTTTATACTTTTAATAAAATTAGATCATGATTATTGATATTGCCTTCAATACTAAAATAATGGAAAGGATAGTTTAACAGAGAGGATAGAAATTATAGAAATGAAATTAATAAACCTACAATATCTATACAATACTTGATTGATACCATTGGTGGTGATGATAAAAACACTGATTAAAATGGTAACTTGTAGACGATGAGATACTGTAATGACAAACATAAATGGGCCATAATAGAAACTTTTTTCCAAAACAGAGAAAATTTCTCTTTAATCATTTTATCAAATAAGCTTGGCAAAAAATTCTCCGACATTTAAAGGCTATAGACATATTGCTCATCTCTGTGGGTGAATTTGTACTGAGTGTTCTTAAGGCCCTCGGGGTTGGGTACGTTCTCAAATGCGATTGTTACTAAAACTGCTGACATTACAGTATATTGATAGTGGTAGTATATTTGTCAGCCATGACGTGACTTCATCAGAAATTTGCTACTTTACAACATGCAGGTTGGCTGCCAATGGCAATTACTGGTATCTGATTTCAAACATTGTTTTGTCTGTGATGGGCTTATCAAAAAAATTTTCAGACAGAACATATTTTAAAAGCTACTTTTCTTTGATAGGCCTATTCATTATAATTTTGTTACGGTTTTGTTGCCTGAAAAAAAAATACATTTTATACTTTTACACTGATTAATTGAATGACTGACTGACGAATCAGAAGAAACCACTGTTGTACTACTTTTTAAACACTTGACTACAACTCAACTGCAGTTTTAAGAGTCCTTAACAAAGCAATGAAATTAAAAATGAATAATTGGCCATAAAAAAAAACCTTTGCAAGTGTCCAATCAGGCAGTAAAAGGTCACAGACAATAATCAAATGAAGTGAAAATAGTCTAATATATCTTACAGTATTGTATCAGTATTCATATCATTTGACAATTCTGTGGCAAAATATATACAATTATCTGTAATGATTTAATTTATAACATGGATGTACATTAGTATGGCAAACAGGTGGGCAGGGCCAGACAGCCTTGAAGTTCTCCACCCAGTCTAAAGCTAACTTCATGGCCTTCTATCCACCTTTATTAACCACCTTCAATGCCATCCTGAAAACCCTTATTATTAAAGTTTACCTACTGTATGTTATTACTCACCTACTTAAAATGTCTACCACCCACCCTATAGTTATAAGATTGTTAATGTGACTTGTTAGTTATGTTGGCCTTTCTACATTATCTTCAGGGTAATCGGGGTGGATTTGGAGAGGGGGAGGGGGACACCGGGCTTTCAGTGGAAAGTGTAAAAGAAAGAAAAAGAAAAAAAAATGATCGGCCAAAACGCCTCAGAGGTGATTTTCAGGTGTCTAGAACACAAAAATTTCACTGGGGCATTCCTCCAGACCCCCAAGGATCTGCCCCTGGTAATAATAAGTAACGAATAAACAATGTTGAAACTCATCACATTCAATATATAAAGAGGTTTTACGGATATACATGTATTTATTCTTTCCAAACAAGTAGTAATACTAAACCACCAGATTCATAGAGTACCAAAATTATTATTATTATTTATTTACCTACTGTACTGTATATCGATTGCAACATAACTCTGTCTGGCACATATTCTCACTCATTTGCATGAGTTCAAAGGTTACATAAAGGTATTTATTGCTCTTTCTACTAGAAAGGCTCAAAGTTCTTTTAATATCACTCCAAACAATGGGAACCATATCCACAGCATGGCACTAATTACCATCATCATATACCTTTGTATGTCAGTAATCTCATAAACATTGTTAATTTTATTAGAAAATCTTCTGATCCTTAGTCAGATATTAATATTCAGCATGCAAAATACAGTACACACAAGAGAACATTCACAGCCTGCCAGGTACTCATTCTTACAGTAGGTGAAGAGCAGTGGAGATGCTAGGCGTAGGCTGGTTTTGGTCTTTGGGGAGGGGAGGAGGGCTGAGAAAATTGAGAATGTGGATCACTATTTCCTCCATTCCAATAAAAACTTCATGGTCATTTTTAGCATATTAACCAACATGTAGTGGAATTAATTTGCTGTAAAAAAATCTGAATTGGAAAATAATTAAGAATATTTCAGTCATTGTCAGAGCGCCCCTCCTCCTTGGGCAAAATCAGGTGCCACAAAGTATGGAGAGAAGCAAACATAAATAAATCCCACGATATTTACTTGTTATGAAGTGACACCTCCATTATTGATACAGTATAGCATACCTACTGTTGCCCAAGGACAAAATTCAAATTGGATAGCATGACATCCGAAACAAGGATGTATTATTTTAAGTTGAAAGTTTGACCACAGCCCGACGTGCCTGACAAACCAGCTTCTACAGTACTTCTTCATATTACCAGTACAGTAGAAGTGATTAAGGTTTAGTGAAATATTTCATTATTTTAGCAAACACGAAAGGAATTGTTGTAAAGAGCAAATTAATTACAATAAGTTAAATTAACCAAGAAGAGAATTTTTATACACTAGAGAAAGTAAGGGAGGGGATCAATGGTGGATCAGTGTACACTGTACAGTATGCTCGAATAAGCACCGCTCTCGAATAAGCGCCTCACCAAACCTGATTTGCTTAGCTAAGCACAGCTCTTGAATAAGCGGCGCTGTGCTTTATCAAGAGTATATTACCCTGTGTGTAATGAACATATTGAGAAACAGGGTTTTAAATACAATATAGGCCTATACAATGTTAAAATGAAGAAATAAAACAATGAAAACACAAGCATTTCTTTATTTAAACGTTCATTTACGATGATGTACAGTAAGACGTATGATAGGCCTACTGAAATACGGAAATATGCACAATAGATAACATGGGAATAGGCATGGAACGAGCCACAAATAAGCCCCACACTGAAGCCACCAAAAATTGTATAAACGCTGCATTAAACATTTTTGTGGGTAACCCTACAGTAGGAACTAACGTCTGCTTTTATATTTCCATCCATTGTTTTTGTTAAATTGTATATAAAAACTGTGTTGATTGTTGATTTTCATTCTTCAATAAAATGAAATGAAATTGATTCTAACAAAATGAGGACACGAAAATTTGGAATGGGAAACCGGTAAATTATTTTTTTCACTTCAATGAGTCCTACATGTATAGTTTCATGACATTTTACTGTTTTATGCAAACAATTATACATTAGGATTGTATTTAAAATAGCCATCGAATGAATGTAGACCGCCGTCTTTAAGTTCATATGTGAGCAAAAAAAAGCGTCAACTTCTATGAATTATCGCAACAGAACACTTACTGTAAATGTTAAGGGAATATGGCATGAATTGCAATTATGAATTGAACAAGAAAACCGCACCTGAATTAAAATGAAAGTTACCTAGTGCAGACGATAAACTACAGTAGTCATTAAAAATTCACAATGTATCCATTAAAAAGGTAATACACAGTTGTAGGTAAGTAGTAGGGGATGACTTTACAAGCTGTGTCCTATTGAACTGTAATTTAATTTTGTATTTAAAAATGCTAAATAAAGTTATTTTTAAAAAGGAATCAATAATTATTAGCTTTCTGGGAATATCATAGTCTGATGGGCAATTATGAATTTCTGATTTTCGAAAATTTATGTGAATGCATGAAACTTGGTCTGAAAGTGAAGTTCATTTCCTATAGTATTAACATGCACAATGTAAAGGTAGAACTGATATTTTTAGATTACATGTAAAAATATTAATTATAATTATATATCATTTGGAGATTATTTTCTACTTTTTTTTCATTTAGATATATACTTTTATTTTTTATAACTTGGTATATAAATATCTAGCACCTTCTTTTAGGTAACAAAGTGCTTTGTTTTTCCTGGTAATTGGGTCGACATGCTTTAAGTGTTTTTGCTATCTGCAAATTGGTGTAG